TACCCTAGACTACCAGAAAGATGAATAAGCGGGTCTTATATTATACTGAGCCTGAACTATCTCTAGAGACAAAAATGGTGAAATATTTTTGGGTATGAAAGTTGAACAGTTAAGAAAGCTGACAGGAAATTGATTTGTTTGAAATATGGTGCTGGATGAGAGCTTGGCAGATACCTTGGATTGCCAGAAAGACAAACAAGGGGATCCTAGATCAAATCAAGCCTGAACTATCTTGGAAGGGAAAAATGTTGAAACTGAGGCTGTCCTACTTTGGGCACATCTTGAGAAAACAGGATTCCCTGGAAAATGCTAAGAAAAGTTGGAGACAGCAGGAAAAGTGGAATACTGAATATGAGATAAATTGACTCCATAAAGGAAGCCACAGCCTTCATTTTACAATAACTGACTAGGGCGGTTTAACAGGACATTTTGGAAGTTGCTCATTCATAGGGTCACCATGAGTTGGAGGTGACTTGACACCATGGAACAATAACAACTAACAATAGTAACTCTTCTTCATGCTTGCCTTACAGAACTTACTTACACAGCAGCCATACAGACCAATCAGCTTGCAGTTACACACACAACCATTATTTCACATTTCCAACTGTCTTAAATGTCACTCCTGGAATACATCCCACATAACGACTGCCAATCAATTCCAGTCACTTACCATGCAAACCTATACACAAAAATATATACAGTGCAAAATTGTACAGTAAGTAATGCTGTCATGTATATACCCACTAAAAGGAAGGTTACAGAAAAGAGGATTTAAGTTGAATTTTAAAACTTCTCCAACCACACTTAATGATTGTGGGCAACCCTCCTGTGTAAAAGGAGATTAGTTTGACTACTTTTGACAAGGTCACACTGTCCTTGAATAGCTCCTCTTAAACTCACCATGATTGCTCTTGGACAACCATAAATTAAAATATGTTGCAACACTGTGGACCTACAACCCATCTGCAACAGGTCTGGAAATGAGGATCTCACTTTATGGGAATTTGTAGAGTGTTGTGCCTTTTGTGTGTGTGTGTATGTGGTTAATTAACTCAGTTGTCCCCTTCCAGAATTCAGTGTAGGTCCACGTGTCATTTGCAACTAGAAATCCGTATCTTCTCAGGCCCGTGCTGTGTTCTGTGGAATCACCAAAATTTATTATCAACAAGGTCACATTTCTATGTGCTTTAATCAGTGGATGGAAGTCATTCAAAATACATGCATTTGAAAAGTAGGCATACAGACAGTTCCTTCCAGTGTGAAAAAGCCTGCATCAAAAGGTAGTAGCAGATACTTGCTATTAAAACATATTACAAACTTACCCCCAAGGCAAACAGACTTTTCAGAACGTCCCATCCCTAGCAGTTACCTACTGAAGTACTGTTCTAACATTCTAGATCTCTGATGGTGGTCTAGAAACTGCAACAAATGGAAAATGCAGCAGCAAAACTACTGCCACAGAGTGGACCCAGGGAACAGAGGAATCCCACATTGGCACAGTTCATCTGCACAGGTTGGCTGTTTGCTGCTGCTCCTTATTCAAAGTATTAAACATGACTGTTAAACCATGTGGCAGGCTTGCCTCATTGTATCCACAGGAACACTTTCTTTCTTATGAACCTTTGATCTTGTGAGAAAAGCTTCCTTCAGTTTGACATACTAGTCTAAAACACTCAATAGTTCAAAATAACAGATCAATGATAATTAGTAACAGACAGCTGTTGCATCAGCACTCTGATTCATGTACTGCAAGAGGAGCAGCACACATGTTCTATTTAGGGATGTGAATATCTCTCAGGCTCTGTCTTTTGTTCTGGTTTTGTTTTTTTCTGAACCGCCGCCTACATTTTCTTTCTGCCATTATTTCATATCAGGTTGTGAGACTTTGGTTCTGGGTGCATCAAAATGTGAGTACATTTCAAGATTCCCCCCCCCCTAACATTTGCATTCACCTATGCATTTTCGCGAACATTCTCTTCACATTGGAAAAAAATATGTTTGGGCATATAATTTCACCATAACACAGAATTTCAGCCACATATCCTTTTGTATTCACTTTGTTTCTACAAAAACTCCTTAAGTATTGCAAATGAGCAAACTCTAGATGTGAGCTGAACATGCCCTAAAACAAACTCGACATGAAATTCTATTTCAAAGGACTGAAATACTAGACAACACCAGCAATCATTACATCAGACTGCACAGGGAAGCCCAGAGCACAGAGTGCTGTTCTCTGAAGATGCCGGCCACAGAGACTGGCAAAATGTTACGAAGAACAACCTTCAGAACACGGCCAAAGAGTCCGAAAAACCCACAACAACCATTAGATCCTGGCCATGAAAGCCTTCGCAAATACATCTAGAAGTGAGATGCATTTCTTGTTGCAAAAAGTTATTTTGATTCAGTGCCATGTATGGAGGACTCTGATTGTTTGATTGCCTAGTTTGCATCAATGCTGCTTGCCAGAATATTTATTTGTTTACTCCAAGAGCCTCAAGCCAGGTGCCTGGTTCTTGCCCCTCTCTTGTCACCTTCTCAACAATTCGATGTGAAGGTGATAAGAGAGGGGCAAGAACCAGGCTACTCAAAGATCCTTATAGGTGAGTGAAGATTTGGGATTGGTCCCCTTCAGTTCTAATACAGTACACTAACCACTTTTCCAAGGTGCCTTTACTCTAGAATAAACACGATTAGGATTAGGCTGTGTAGGGAGCAGATTTTACGTAGCTCACAGGAAGGGAAGTACTCTGAACTCAACATGTTCTCAATTATTTTCTTAATCTCAGCTGATTTTTAATACTGCACCTGAGCACGAGGGCTCCAAATGCACAACTCTGAATGAAGTGCATGTGTCCACTGAAATCAAGGACCATGATCTAGGCAATGTTACTTATATCTTATGCATGCTTAATTTTCACTGGAATCAGCAAAACAGCATCAGTGGGGAAAACCCTTTAATTCTTTGTGGGATGGTGCCCAATCATCTTCTGCTAAGACGGGATTTCAACCTGGACTGTGCACGTGTCCCCCAATTCAACTCAGAGCCTACTCTGGTGCTTTGAGATGGATCCTGATTAGATCTTTAGTGATCCAACTCCCTCCTGATTTGATTTGTGCTGTAGATTTAAAGAAATGATCAGTAAATTCACATCAACAGCCTTCCCATTGACTTACGGTAAGCTAGAAAACCAAAAGTATACATTTTTAATTTTAATTTTATTTATTTATTAGAAGTCTACTCTGGCCGGGTTCCATCAAACATTTTTCCATTGAAGGTACATGAACTTTGGGCTCAGAGGGGAGTAAATGTGCCACACTGAAAATAGTTAGCATAAGGGGTGCCTACTGGGTACCTCTGATGTATTTCCCTCCAAGTACTCTGAACGAAGTAAAATACCTGCCTCCTATTGCTTATTATGGCTGTCACTGAGCAAAACCCATCTCTCTTCCTATCTCCCCAACTACCAGTTCACATATCCTGCCCCCATAACCTTGCTTCCTTGCCCTCATTTTAGATGTTGAAATCATTGACTCAGTCTCAATGGCCTTTGCTTTGCTATGGAACTGAATGTGCTCATTCAGTTTCAATAGCATTCATACAATATAATGTAAAGGCAGCTCAAGATTCTGGATTTGGATGAACCTGATACATTGTCCCAATTACAACAAAGCTCATAAGAGCATATCTTAGATATTGTTACGTCCATTGAATTTTCAAATGTAGTAGAATCAATAGCAACAGAAGAAATGTCTTTGGACTCATTTCATGATGTGTAAACTGAAATACATGCAATGAGACAGCAGTTTGCTGATAGGCAGAAGGTTAAGTTAAGTTAATTTTACTTAGACCTCTAGAAAGCCTACACAGTGCCTATCAGTGATCACTCGTCACCTGACTACGGCTGGTTTATTGAGTTCACACCTCACAAAATAATTCATGGCATCTCCTGCATTATGTTTCCTGATGTGTAAAAAATACACTTCCTGTTGTCTTCCTATTTTTGATGTATGTTTAATAAATGTATTGCTTATTATCTTTTTGAATATTTTTCTATAATGGCAAGCACAACACCTTAAAGGAGTTAGAAAACGAGATTCCAGAACACAGAAAAAAAGAGAGCAAATGGTACTTTCAGAGTGATTGACTTTAAAATGCAAACGAAAGGCATCTGAGAGAGATTACTTCAGCTAATCACTTTAGGCTTGTCTTTGAAGAATATACCTTCATTTAAAATTGAAAATAAATGCTTTTTTGAGGTTCAGTATTCATGTCAGCATATTTAGCATATCAGTTTCCACAGATAGCATAAAACAGAGGCAACCTTCAGAATTTGCAGTTTATTAATATTTTGCTACTTGCTGTCTATGTGTCTATCCACCTACTTAGTAAAAGACACATAGTAAGTGATGAGACATATTGAAAACATAGCTGTGAATGTACCTTCTGTTATGCACAAGTGGTAATTAATTAAATGACACTTAACAAACATTACCTAGCACAGGAACCCAGTCAAACAGCCAAAGATATGAATACAGAGCTTCATTTCCTTGATTATGTTTCTTGAAAACACTCCTCTTGAGATACGTGCAATAAATTTACAAATTATTGCACTGTTAAGTTATTATCTTCAAGATTATCTACCTGGTTACCAGACTTTTGTAAATTTACTGAGAAAGCTTTCTTTTCACACTTAGATGTGTCTGAAGATGCCATAAACATGCATTCTACTTAGCTGCACAGGGTGCAATTCTGCATTGTCTCAAATCAATTATTCCTCTTTAATTGCATTATACAAACAGAAATGACCTGCTAATTTAAAGGAAATCTATCAGCACAAAATGAATTCTCTTGTATAAAAAAGCCAGATGTACTTGACCTTGTATGAACTTCTTTTGATGTGGCCCAGATGGTAGGCTGCATGCTTGAATAACAGGCTAGAGCAGAGGAAAAACTAATATAGTAAGATCTAGATTTATAGCCTTTTGCAAATTCCTACCTTGTATTGTCCTTTCAGCATCTGTTCTGCCCCCACTGCGGTCAGCTTCTATCTCTGGGGTCAGAGAGTCTAAAAGCACAGAAAGGTAAGGCTGACACATATTTCATTTGACTCTTAAAGCCCCCAGTTTTATAACCTGTTACTCCAGTCCTGAATTACAATACAATCAACCTTTGCCCTATTTTTAATGTTGAACAATGACTGGATGCCAGTAAAATAATTTTGCAACCAGCAAGATTAATGAGAAAGAGATGTTTAAGAGTGAAAAACAGGGAAAGGGCCTCTCCAAGCTAATAATTTAATAAAACATTTTCTTGTTTACATTTCCCTCATTATAATAATATAAAAATCAAAACTACAGTGTAGGGGGGGAATCAGTTTAATGGAGAGAAACAATATTCATTTTTCCACCGGTGATTTGAGAAGCCAGCCAATAGCAATCTTTCCAACAGAACCATTCCCTCTTTTTTCAAAACGCCACTGGAAGAATGCATTAATCATACAAATGTGAAAAGCTGACTTCTTACCATTTAGGACCCTGAGATTATCTGTGGCAGCAGCCTGTTTCAGTGTCTGTTCTGCTTGTTCTCGCCGCTTTGTCTCAAATTCAAGTGCTTCCTGCAGTTTCCTCTTGGCTTTCTTTTCCTTCTTTAACCTTTTCTGAATTATTGCTGTTGTAAGGGTGAGAGAGAGAAACACACACACACACCTCTGTTCAAGTCCAGTCCTTGAAACCTTGGCTCCTACACTTCAGATTCTTTAAAATCTTGCTACAAAATATTTTGTCTTTACACATATAGATGCTCAGAGCTCACTTTCTTCTGTACCTGTAAAAATTGTTATAATCAGGAACATTAACCCTAGATTAGCACAAAGAATTCATGACCCTCGGCCAGATTTGTAATTGTGTTGCACTTGCAGAAACCAGCAGATATGCCAGTTCAGTTCTTTGTAATCCAGGTCTATGGCTTTAAAGCAGTTTTATAAGCAAGAAGGGGAAAATCTGGATTAAAACTTTTTTTGCATTACATAGTGCATGGATTTCAAAACTATGCATGGTATTGTTGTCTGTGAATATCTTCCAATATGCAAAAAATATACACTCTTACCTACCTGCCATTTTGTCTTCTAAATAAACTACGTAGCTCCTTGTGGGTTAATAGCATTTGACACTATTATTCTTCACAGCTTGCTTGTTATTTTTTCTCCCATAAGGTGGAGTTTGCAAAGTAGCTACTCCATGGAGGTGAAAGATAGGTTCACTTCCCAAAGCACTATTGTCCATCCCAGATCTGAACAGACTACCTGTGTAAACAAACCTGTGCAATCTTTCAGAATTTCCTCTTCAGCTGTGACATGTTTGTATTTCTTTCAAGGTACCCAGTCCTATTAACTTTCCACTTTCAACCTTCAGCTCCTTGTCTCTAGGCATGCTCTCATTTGTTACCTTTTTTGCCCTTTGCTGCCCTCCTTCCAGAAGGTAGAAGGACAGTGTACATCATATTGACATCTTCAGGAGGACAATACTCATTCTCAACTGAAACATCTGACAGATGTATGATTGTATAAGAATGGATGGAGAATATATAAAACAAGGGTCCATTTTCCAGATGTATTGTAGCAAAGATCTTCATGGTGAAAAACCAATTTAAGATAATGTGTACAAAACAGGAGTACTATTTTCAGCCACACCAGCAAGATTTCTCATATCAATTAACAACTGTTATACTTCAGTTGTGAGGCAGACACATCTTGAGTAGCTTTGTGGTTTAATCTTTTATTATAACCATGCTGTAAACAATTTTAATGAATACAGGTTCCTTTCTAAATTATGTGTTTATTGTAGCTTATTTTTTGTAGTTATGACTGGATCTCAGAGCTATGGTAAGTAATGCTTTGCTGTGCACCTGCCCACTTAAAAAAGATGATGTTAGTCTTACTACAATCACAGCATCCTCTACAGTCAAAGCACTCACTAATTAGAGGAGAGAAATGGAAATCAAAGGAAACGAGACAAGTAAACATGTCATGTAGCATAACTCATAAGCGCTATAGTCAGTGTATATATGTCCCCTTAGTAAGTTCCTATGCTATTCTAACCATAATGTTTTACTACTGGTTCGTTAGCTTACTTGTTCACTTGTAATCCTGCACCTCAGTCCTAAATGCTTGTTCCCAGAAGTAAATTTCATTGCTCTACATTACAATGCTAGGCTGTCAAAAGGCCAGGATCCAAATGGGTACTTGGAGCTGGGCTGCTCTGCTCCTGCCAGAACTGGCAATTCCTTTTTCCTCCTGGAGCCACCCACATATACTAACAACATGGAGAGCTTATTAAACCTTTTGGGGCAGGTTTCAAGGGGGCAAAAGCTTTCCTGTAGAGAGGAGAGTTCATCAGGGAAGTGAGATGGCTGTGAGAGAGCTCTATATTTATAGTGTATTGACAAATGACATGTCACTACACCATAAATACATAGCTCTCTCATAGCCAGTTCACTTCCCTATGGAAGTGAACTGGAAGCTGTTTCACTTCCCTGGTAGAAGTAGATTAATTACCTGGTTGGAGCCTTTTTAGAAGCATTGTGCATTCTTGATTTTATTTGTTCACGATTGTCAAATTAATGATAATTTGAGAGGAGGAAACTCCTATTCAATACAGCATTTTCCACTAAGAAATACTGCTACATCTACTTTTAAGATCTATTTACAGTGCCTTGTTCACTGGGCTAGGCAACAACAAATTCAAACAGCAAGGGTACACAGAAAGTCTATCCCATATCTGTAAGACCTGCCAGTTTCAGAACTAGCATCAGACCCCTTGTTTAGAATTTGATATCCAGCTGCAACAGTCCTGCACAGTTAGTATCTCCTGATAACCTTTTCCCCTTGGGTTGCACTCTTCTCTTCTGCAGTCCCCTGATCAGAAAACCTTTGGTAATATGCACATGACAGAGAGGGAAAGGGACCTGGCAGGACCAGTCCAAGTAAAAGAAGTCTTTTTGTGTGCCTGATGAAAAAGAGGCTAGCACATTCATCATTAACCCAGGGAAAATGATTAATTTTCAGATGTCCAGTGAACATCTGGGTAATTAATCCAGTTTTGCTGGATTCATTACAAAACTTCCCAGGGAGGTCAATCTGTCCATCATTAGCTTTATGCAGATTGCATAGCCCTGGCTGTAGTGTCATGATTCCAAACTAACTTTATCTCTTTTTCTGTCAAGTGATATCATGAAATATTAAGCCCTTAAATTGTATTATAAAATGTAAGTATGATGTGGATTTCTACCTGGTTTATATAAGTTATGTCTCAAAATCAAGTCATGCAAATATCCATTTTCAGAATGTGATCTTTAAGATGTTGGGATTTTTTTTTCCCCACCTTGGTACTGCATCGTAACAAATATCAAGGAAAAAGCAGGAAATGTAATTGGATTCAAAACTGACTTTGTACAGCAACATGGAAAAGATACAACTTTCTTTTTCAAACTATTTAAAAAGGAAAAGAACTTCAAATGAAGCTGCATTCTGCAATATAGCTAATTGTTCTTAGGCAAAGAAACTAAGGCTGCAATCCTGTATCAACTTATCCAGGAGCACTTATTTCTGAGTAGAATGGCACTGTAAGGCAAGGTAATAACTTAATATTTCCAAATGCCTTTGCACAAGTGAGATAATGCACTTGATACATTTAAATGTTCAAAGAGCAACTCTACAGATGTTTACCTCTGTTCTTCTGTTCCACTGCCAATTGTTTTTCAAGTGTTTCCCTCAGTTCTCGTTCCCTGAACAGCTCCATTTTGAGCTCTGTCTTTTCCAGTTGTACCTGCTTTTCTTGAGCTCGAGCATTGTCAATGGCAACCTTCAACAGGCCCTGTTTGAAGACAAAGAGTAATGGAGTAATTTCCATAAATAGGAAACAAATGTATCAGTGTATGTTACCTTTGTAAAATCCTAAGAGTTACAATACCTGCTACCAGGTTACAGACATGAATCTGTATAGAACAATGACTAGGCTTTTTAGAAGTAGGTGAAATGTGACAGAAAAAAAGGGGTTTGATCAAGTCAAAGGCCAATTTTACTTAGCTCCTATAAAACCCAGTAAGACAGGCAGGGCTGGCTCTCCCGAGCACGCCACGGAAGGTGGGCGAAGCTCGGGACTGAGCTGTCTGGTGAAGCAGCCGAGAGGGAACGCTGGGCTAACATCACATTGATTTCAGAGGAACCTAAGTGTGACAAAGTATCCAGAGCACAACCTGAAAGGCCCATTTTTTGGTTATATCTGGAAAAGCTCAAACTTCATTTTAGGTGTCAGTGGTACTAATACACGGCAAGAAGCTGTGTCATTAAGAAGCAAATCTACACACTTCTCTCTAATGTCAAAAGGGACTGTGGGCAGGGAATTCTCTGTAATTATTGCCTGTTCTAATGCTAGGTAAACCTAAAGCTGTTTCTGTCAGTGCGGTGAAAAGTGTAGTGGTATTTTAAAAATTCTTTAAGTTGACTTCCATTCCTATGCATAGCAATGGGTTGGGCTGTGGATGCATTCAGGCTGAACATGCATGCCCAGATACACTGATTTGAGTCTACAGAGACAGGAGATGGTGGTCAAATGCTACTGATGTTTGTGTAAGGTTGGAGTAACTTCTTGTGGCTTAGTGATGAGGCACCAGGTCATCTCTAAATGTGTGTTACTGAGATGTGCCCCAGCACTATTGTCAATCATCTGCAATTTTAATTATATCTTCTTCATTGGCAGTTTTAATTATGAAAGGCGTAATAATGGCAGGCCCCATATTGATATTTCATTGTTTTGTTATAGACATTTTTGTTGTTTTTCAGAAGGCTTAAAACTGTGCAAAGCAATTTTACTCCATTTTCAGGATCTGCCAGTTGTGTCCCTCCTCCATAGAGCCGGTGCCGGTGCTGGAGTGGGAGGTGGCGCCAAAGGAAAGCTGCATGGCTGAGCGAGTGCCGCTGCTGCCCAACAGGGTTCTCCAGAATATCTGCAACCGCTCTCCTTGACCCCTGTCAGCCCCATCGAGGTCAGTATGGCGAGCCCTCGGAAGCCCCCATCCCGGGGAGCACTCGAGTGCTGTGATGTTTCCCTGGGCCAGTGTTCCCTCAGCTGCTTCAACGGACAGCTCAGTCCCGAGCTTCGCCCACCTTCCGCGGCGCACTCGGGAGAGCCAGCCCTGCCTGGAGCCTTCACCTCCCCATGTGAAAGAATTGGGTCTGGTCCCCTTGTTGCCCAGAGTTGTGGTGGCGCCAGCCCAGCACCGGGAGGCTGAGCCTGGCCGGGGTGCACTGGCTGCTCACCTCAGCCTTGATCTCCGCCATGGCCGGCCCCGCCTCCACCTCCTCAGCTGCAACCAGATCTAGTAGGCTTGGGACTGTCTGGTAAGGTAAGGTGTTGCTTTTTGCTTTTAAAAAACTGTTCTGGGTGGCTTTTGCAGGGTGGGTTATGTTTCTGTGCTGTGTTGTTTTGTTTGGTGATATTTTTTGCAGTCCCAACATGGGGACTGCTCCAATGTTTATTTTTTGGTTTTGTTTTGTTTTTGCAGCCCCAGTGCCTTTGGAGCTTGTTCTGTTTATTTTTGCTTGTTGTTTTTTAAAGCCCCAGCGTCTACCGATGGGGCATTCTGTGTGCTTTTTTTTTTGTTTTACTTTTTTAATGCTGGAATGGATTAATTGTGTTCCAATGCATTTCAGTGGGAAGTGGTGCTTCAACTTACGACCATTTTGAGTTACGTCCATCTTCTGGAAGGTATTATGGTCGTAAGTCGAGGCACTGCTGTAAATCAGTTCATTTACTATAGTATAGAATTTTGCATGTACAAAACCATTATTTTTATCATCTATACCTATACCTACAGGATCTTGTTCTCTTGCTTCCCAAAGGCAAGCTCTCCTAAACATGAAATTATAAAACCAAACAATTCAAGATGTTATGAACTGGACTGCTGCTGAAATGAAAACAGTGTGTTTTCTTATAAAAATCATTTCCTTCAGATACTAAGATCCTTTGAAATTAAGGGTTAGGAAATTCCAATGTATGGCAGTTCCACAGGACATGAAAAATCCAGTATTTGATTATGGAAAATGGCAAGAAGTGAAGGGTTCCCATTACCATAATGAAAACAGACGACACCAGTTGAGACAAATCTTCAGAAATAAGTGTGGGCCATGCAGTAAATACACAGCATCTCACAGAGTGACAGATGCAATTAAGAAATAATGGACACAGATTCAGTTCTATTAGTCCTACAATTTTATGGAAACATTTTACAGATTTTAATAACTAGTTTGGAAAAAAGTACTCTTTGGCCCGGAACTCCTAGAAATTGTTATTGAGTAGGGCTGTGCTCTTGCTTTCTAGGAGATGCACTCCCCCAAAAATCAATTTTTTCAATGATAAAAAATATTTTAAATAAAGCTAATAAACAAAGTAGGGAAAATAGATTTTAGATATGAAATATATTTGAGTTCATTTCTTGCATAAACATGTGTTTAATATTTGTGATATGGATATTCAGAGTGGTGCAGTGAATATGGAATGGAAACCCACTGGAGTGTGTGTGTGGAATTAGTAAGATTCCCTCTTTAAATACCCACCTTGAAAGCTCTATTAGAATCACTGTAAGTTGGTCTGCACTTGATGGCCTTTAGTACATTACTTAGATACTTAAAGTTAGATAGATATAAATTATATATTTATAATTATACACAGACATATAAACAGAGCTTCTACAGTCTCAATGGATGGGGCAACCAAGTGAATATACATAAAATTTGCATCTAATGTCCTTTTAGCACACCACAAGTTAAGGAGACCTTCCCTCTGTCTACCTTCAGTGCTGCGAAGAAAAGGAAATTATACTGGGTTAAATGCCAGAGTTGTTGACTGTGATATACTAGTTGTTCAGATAAACTCTGAAATCAAAATTTCAAACAATGTGGTATTATAATGTAAAAGGGGGAAAAAGTCCCTTGTGGCAAAGTGTCAAGAAAATGTTAAAGCTCACAAGCAGATCCCCTTTACATTTTGACGATCTCTTCTTGTTGAACAATAAAAACTAGCTGCTATGGCAACTGCCATCTTTACTCAATCAGCAACATTCATGTACATGTTTCTTCTTCATCAGGAACAAACAATTAGTAACAAATGAAAGAGATCATTACATCAAGTGCCCTTTTAGATCACCCCAATTAAAACTTTAGTTTAGCTGTATTTTAATTCTAACATACCAAATTCTAATTTTCTGCTCTGATTGCTCTTGTTGACTTATCTTTGAAAGATGTACTTGCAGCGCAAAGCCTAGAGATTTATTTAGCAAGATGCCAATGTTAGCACCACTTAACGTGTTGATTGGTTGTATTATCAGTAGCAATGGAAAATAAATTACTATTAAACTATTATTGTCCTTGGCTGACAAAACACAATATTTTGCTGTTCTTTAAATATGAAACAATCATGGGTAAACATGGAGAATAAAGTTAAACTGCAACAGTGATGTGTGCAATTTTATGTTAAGCACCTTTGCAAAGTGAGAAGCTCATAAGAGCATGTTACATTTGCATCGGGTTTCAACACTATACCTTCTTCTTCCACATATTTCCCTTAACATAGTTGTATACCCCTGCTTCTAATATTGCTAATAGTCTACTGCTGCTCATTATTTCTGAAAATAATATTCACTTTTCTTTGGTTCTGAAGCCCGCTAGGGACCACTTGCAACTTATGGAAAATGAACTTTCATTTTTAGAAGTTACATCATGTATGTCAGCAGGATGGCCAACACAGACAAAATTTTACAAGTTAATGCCAGTGCAAAAGTGTTAACAATGCCAATGAAAATCCTAAAGTGATGTACTTTGAAACAGTATTGTATTGTTTCTACATGGAATATGAAGACAGGCAAATAACAATGTTAACACCTAAGACCCTTCTATGCCTTTGACCCATTAAAAATAATCTTAATTGTTGGGTGTAAATTTGCTCTAGGATTATATCAAAAAGTTTTCACAAAATACCTGTACATCAAGTTTGCTGCTGTGGAATTCAAAATACAAGGCAAACACAGTACTATAATACTGCACACAGTTCAACTTCTTGACACTCATTAACTTCAATAGCATTGGAAATGTGCAACGGTAAGCAGGATTGCAGCCCTGAATAGGCATGCAGGAGCATGTTTTCTATGGAGATGCTAACTTTTAATGAAAGTTGGCCAATAATAGTTTAAATCAAGATATTCAGATTTCTTTGAAGCAAGCTCTGTCAAATAAAATGCCTCTTAAAACAGATTAGCATTTGTTCCCAATCTAGAGAAAGGTTGTACACATAAAATGTTATGAAAGAACTAGGAAATACTTTGCTAACTTGACTTATATTCCATCTTCCACAACTGAGATCCAAGGCAGTTCATGATAAAAAATATATATAAATAAAAGTATAGTGAGTTGTATTATTCACAAACAATCAAATTATACTATTAAAACATCATTAAGTTAAAAATTTAAAGCATTTTAGTTGAAAAAATAGGTAATTATAAATTAAAAGGTCGCCATCAACTGCCAAGGTCTTAATCTTGCTGGGATAATATTGGGGGGGGGGGGCTCCTGACCTCCTTTGGAAGGAAGCTCCACAGTCTAGTAGCAGCTGTAAAAAAAAAGTCCTATCCCCTACTGTGCTTCTGGGATGAGGTGAAATCCAGTGAAGGGCTTCCTAACAGATTTCAAAGTCCAGGCCGGCTTGTATGAGAAAATATATTTCAGATAGTTTGGAGCAAAGACATTCAGAGCTCTATAATTAACACTTCAAAGCAGACCTTAACATACAAACTATCATCAATTTTTTCATATTTATTTTAA